CTCTGTAAACCGCTTAGAGAGGGCTGAAAGCCCTATGAAGCGGTATATAAGTCAAACTGCTATTGCTATTGCTATAACTGTGGCTAAAATCCACAGACTTACCAAGTTGGAAGGAAGTGAGTCCAAATATTGACGGTTTCGTTGTTCAGTTGGAAGGAGCTGAGGACGCAATCCAACGCAGAACTTTTGGGGTGTCGGTACCCCGATATGATACCTTCTTCCCAGAAAATCTACAAGATAAAAAGCGAGGAATCCCCCAAAAGTGTTGGGATTGCAATCCCCATGTTTCTGGGAATTCTGAGAGTGGTCGTCTCCCTTGAGGCTCAACACTCCTCAAATTTAACAGAATAACGGAAGAGTTGGAAGGGACCTTAGAGGTCTTCTAGTCCAACCCCCTGCTAAAGTAGGAAGCCCTTCTCCTCCTCTGAAAAATAATAAGTTGTGAGGGACCTTGGAAGTCTTCTACTTTAATGTCCTGCTCTAAGAGGAGACACTTGTCTCCTCCTCCTCCAAGCAGGGGGTTGGGACTAGAAGACCTCCAAGATCCCTTCCAACCATATCATTCTGAGATAGATAAGATACATTGATGGATGGATGGATGGATGGATGGATGGATGGATGGATGGATGGATGGAAGGATCAATGGATGGATGGATGGATGGATGGATGGATGGATGGATGGAACAACTTCCCTCCAGAAGTTGTGGGTACTCCATCATTGAAGGTTTTTAAGAAGAGACTGGACAGCCATTTGTCTGAAATGGTATAGGTTCTCCTGCTTGAGCCAAGGGGTTGGACTAGAAGACCTCCAAGGTCCCTTCCAACTCTGTTATTGTGTATTCTGAGTGACTCACCCGAGGGACTTGATGGATTCGGAAGATTTGAGGCAACCTGATGGTTAGCATTTCTGGAGATGAGAGGCAGGATTCTTCTTAAAGGTATATAGACATATATACGTCGTATCCCCAAAATAATCTGTCCTCAGGAGATGCTGCTCGGTGGTCCTCGGTCGTTGGTGATGAAGGTCCCCACCTTGGCCAGGACAGGACACAATAGGTTCAGCTTTGGTGGTCTGGTTCGGTTCCACCACAGGAAGCCAATTCTGCCACTGAATTAAAAATGACAGCTTCTTTGATATGTCCAGAACTGACTGCTAATCCAACACATTGGAGAATCGTCCAAAACCAAAAAAAGGATTAAAGAATTACCTTGCAAAGCCTGATTGTGTGCTTTCACAAGTCTACAGGTGTCTTTTCTCTAATTCAGGGTTTCTCCATCTTGTTGATTTTAAGATGGGTGGACTTCAACTCCCAGAATTCCTCAGCCGGGGTTGGGGAATTCTGGGAATTGAAGTCCACCCATCAGAAAGTCACTAAAGTTGAGAAACAGCTCTTAGACTAAAATAAAAGCAGTTAAATCATATTCTCTCTCTCTTTCTTATATCTCCCTCCCTCCTTCTCCCTCTTTCTTATTTCTCCTTCTTTCTCTCTCCCTCCCTCTTTTTATTTCTCCTTCTCCCTCCCTCTCTTTCTCTCTCCTTCTCTCCTTCTCTCCTCTTTCTTATTTCTCTCTCTCCCACTCTCTCTCTCCTTCTTTCTTATTTCTTCCTCCCTCCCTCTCCTTCTCTCTTAATTCTCCTTTTCCTCTCCTTCTTTTTCTTATTTCTCTCTCTCCCACTCTCTCTCTCCTTTCTTATTTCTCCCTCTCTCTCCTCTCTTTCTTAATTCTCATTCTCTCGCCCTCCCCTCCTCTCCTTCTCTCCTCTCTTTCTTATTTCTCTCCCATTCTCTCTCTTTCTTATCTCTCCCTCCCTCTCTCCTTTTCTCTTAATTCTCCTGCTCTCTCCCTCCCTCTACTTCTCTCCTCTTTCTTATTTCTCTCTCTTTCCCACTCTCTCTCTCTCCTTTCTTATTTCTCTCTCCCCCCGCTCTCTTTCTTATTTCTCCCTCCCTCTCTCTCCTTTTCTCTTGCTTAATTCTCCTCTCTCTCCCTCCCTCTCCTTCTCTCCCTCTCTCTTTCTTATTTCTCCTTCTTTCTCTCCCTCCCTCTCCCCTCTCTCCCTCTCTCTCTCCTCTTTCTTATTTCTCTCTCTCCCTCCCTCCCTCTCTCCCCATTGCTTGACATTCTTCAATCACAACCACAATCGCGACTTTCAACATCACTTCTCTAAGAAAACCAAAAGTTTGCATTCACAACCCAAAATGAGGTGATGGAACCAGGGACCACTTCCAACTAATAAAAACATTTCAAAGATTTAGCAGCCAGGAGCAATCCAGAGCCTCCAGCTGATCTCAAATACCACCCCCTACCCCAAAATGCTAAAAAGAGACCCTGAACGTTTATTTGAGAGGTGGACTCACAAGGCGTTTGTGGAAGGAAACGATTCAAAATTCCGAGGCTTTCAACAGGCAGCCTCTGTTTTGTTTTGTTTTGTGGGGGTTTTTCCCCTGGGCTGCAACACCTAAAATTGAAGCTGCGGGGAAGGTCCAGACCTCCAACCCTGAAGGCATCTGATGAAGGTGAGAAACTTAGCACTGTAGGAAGTTATCACCCAGCCCTCTCCCAGAAAAATGAAATATCCTAGGAAATATTGAAAAGGCAGAATATTTCTCTGGATGCGAAAAGGAAGAA